AAAGAGATGTGTTTGCCGAACGTTCCCAAAAGCAAGAGACTACGAATGAGAAACCAAAGCACCCGATCCACGCTTAGGCTACCAGCATGAGCCCCTCAGCGTAGGTGCATCCACCAGCATTTCCACACAAAGCAGAACTTCGACCAGCGCTGCGACCAACCCACGTCAACATTTCACTGGCACCCTAACCACCCGCAACGGGCATCGCGCTCCCTAAACGCTCACTCCATCACCAACCTTTCCTGCCACTTGATGCCACTTGCCACACACACCTTAAGCTGAGGACACGGCGCCACTGGATAGGCTCTCTGGTAGGCTCATCTAAATCTTCCCAGTGAGCGAAGCTGCAACTAGTCCAGGAAATGACTACCTGCAGCCAAACAAAATTACTGAAGAGACGACTTCCTCTGGAATTGCAAAGCCCAGTGGCAATAAGCAGCACATGACATACGACCTCGGCACTCAAGTATGATACGGGTTTCGCAGCTGCACGCATGAAAGCTCAACACTGATTGCCTAATGTCAAGTGCAAGCGGCAGCAATGCAGGCCAGAGCGTAGGTGGTCGGAGAAACTGCAGATCAGGAATCATGAATCTCCGGTCTCTCCCATCAACACCATCGTACAAACGCCTTGCCTGCATTTGCTTTCACAAGCCTCCGTGACACCACCGCACTGCCATATGACTCCAAGTCCTCGCTTTGCTAGCAAAAGTCACAAGAGATTGCTGACATTTGCTGACACAGCTGCGGTGGGCTAAAGCAATCGGTGGCGTGAAGGGCACAAAGCACTCAGCTCCACACTGTGTCTTGCGCGGACCCTCTTCCCCCGGGCATTACCAAATCGGAATGCGTGCAATGCCTGCGCGCAGTACGTGATTCCCGCCATCTTATTGCAAAGCCATTGAGAATCAAAACCCGGTGTTCAAATGGCATACCCGGACTACCCAAACCATGTAAAGCGGCCACACCCATCAATAGCTGGAACTGCTGACTCCCTTCATCTAGCCGGTGGCTTCCATGTTTCCTCGCGTGCCCCACATGTCACGGACCTCAGCACGTTACATGCGCTGCGACAGCTGGCCTGACCTTGGCGCCAGGCCGCACCCAAGGGCCCAAGGGAGGTCAAACAAGCAAAGCAGCAGCTAATAGCTGCTGAACATACGTTCAGCATGTTCAGCTGCCGAGGCATATTTCAAGACTAGCATGCAGAACGGCAATTTGTGAATTTACAAGCAACCTTTTGCACTGCCACGCTTGCTAGTGAGATAGGGTTTGGGCGCCTTTGGTGATGAACCTTACTGGACTCTAAGACCCTGGCAGGGAAGCAGTTCTGGGCTCAAGCTTGGTAAGCTTGAGCCCAAACTGCCCAAGCAATGTTTGGCTGCTGACTTTTCGGCTGCAGAGACCGCAGCTCGTGGCATTTTAGCAGTTTCTCACGGTTGAGCTCAGAATTAAAAGAGTCCCGGCTCATTGCAGGACTACAGGCGTGCGGCCTCGCTGGCCCAAGCATACCAAGCAAACGGCATGACTGTAGGCAAACGCGACTGCAACCTGCACAATTATCACATCCAAAAAAGCACAAGGCCCCAACCGGACCGTCATTTACAATTTACAAAGTGATCAGTCAGCTGAGAAGCTGGTGCTTGAATCAAGGGCTGGCAAAGGGAGCTACACCACAGTAATTGACTTGCGTAAGGCTTGAACACCCGGTACTGTTGCAGAATAAAGTGTGCTGGAAAGTGTGCCGCAAAAAAAGGCCTTCAACAAACGCCGCATGCAGTAGCTGTCTTTGCTCTGACCGGAGCCAAAGGGGCCACTGTCTCTGCAAGCTTTGCTTGCTGAATCGAAACAGTCGGTTCTGTCCTTTTGCAGGTGTTTGGATCGCTGTTGCTGTGGTTTTGGACTGCGCTGCGAATATTGCCTGACCTCTTGCTTCAACAAGAAGTGAATGCTGAGATGATACTGTGTTGCTCAAGGAAGAATGATGCTGATGCTGATGATGCTGGTGATGCTCGTGATGCTGGTGATTCTAGTGGTGCTTGTTTCCCTTGGCAGCCAATTGCTGCTCCTGCCTGGTCCTGGCAATGCCGAATTTGGGACATGCCAAGACACAAGGAGGGAACCTCAACGGAAGCGCAAGATGTCGTCAATGTGTTTTTCTTATTTCATGCGGCGCAGCTTATTCTTCTAACGCAAGTCATCATAATCGGCATCTCCGCCCAGCCCCGACTCTCGGCAAAATCCCTGGTCTCAACCTTACTTGCCTTGAGGTACCGCTTCTTCAACAGGCAGGATTCCACGCATGTGATCCCCCACCTCACTTACAGTATGCATGCGAGGCAAAACACAGTCATCACAGCTGTTGGTCCACTTCTTGCACCATTTGTGCCAGGCTGCTCTTCACCACTGTTGTGGCTGCCAGAAACGCCTGATCTCTCCTTGGCCTGCTGTTCATTCAGCACTGAAAGAACACCGTAGATCACAGGCACCTAGGTCAAAAGAAGTGCTCCCAGGAGAGTGCAATGATTCCATGCAACAACTGGCTGTGCCTGCTGCCCCCCCCCCCCAATCCCATTCCGCCACTATCCCCACTGGCACCTTGTAGTCCAAATTCAACCTCATAATGCCATGCGTCACCGCCTCACTCACATACTCAAAATGCATCGACTGGCCCTTGATGAGGCAGCCAACGCAAATGATGCCATCGTACTTCTGAGACTCCAAAAGAATTTGGGCAGCTGCAGGAAGCTCGTAGGAGCCTGCCACATACTCCACCATGACATCCTGGACGTTGCAGGAGCTGAGGGCTTCCTTCACCCCGGCAACTAGGCTGCCGGTGACAGTAGAATTCCAGCGAGCGCAAACGATTGCAATCCGAAGGCCACTTCCATCAAACGCGGGCAAGTCCAAGCCACGAATGCTGGGAACGCTGTCAGGGTTGGGGGCATTGGGGAAGCTTGGCTGCGAGCGTCGAAGCTGCACAAGCTGATCCACTGTTATGACGCGAATGGAGTGCTGCCTGCCAAACTCCATCGCCGCCTCCCGTCGTAGCATTGAACCGTCGTCATGAGTCAGCTCAGTCATGCAAGCTACTGGCCTGCAGCCGCTCAACCGACACAGGTCAAAAGCGGCTTCTGTGTGACCCATACGTTCAAGCACACCATCCGCACTTGCAACAACAGGCACGACATGACCTGGCTTTGAGAAGGAATTTGCAGGATTGGACAAATTGCAAAGAGCACGCACAGTCGCAGCTCGATCAGCAGCAGAAATCCCTGTACTGGATCCAGGCAGGAAAGTTGTGGACACATATGCTCCAATTGCAAAGCGGTCTGTGCCTATCTGCGTGGCTGGGTGGAGCCCGAAGTGAGTCAAATGATCCCTGCTTGACACTGCGTATGTGATGCCGGAGCCTTTGCGAATTGCAAATGCCATGCGCTGAGTAGTCGCATGCTCTGCTGCAAAGATGAGGTCGCATTCGTTCTTCCTATCGGCTGCATCCACGACAATCACAAACGCCCCGTTTTTGAAATCTTCGATGGCAGCATGAACAGGTGCCTTGGCCATTGTCAAAGGCAGCAATAAAGAAACAAAGTATCACGGAATACCATGATGTTGATTGGCCACGCAACATAGGGCCTACTTGCGATGCTCATTGCCTACAAGTGATTAATCACGAACGTGGTGTTGAACAATTATCTTGAGCAAAGGTTGGCACGTTCACATGATGATTAGCTGCATGGCCAGCTTTGCGAACAACACATTGGCTGCCTCGGGGCGAAAAGCGAATCAATTTCGCGCATGCCTGATCACTCTTGCTGGTAAATACTCTCAGCAAAAGACACGGCCCCGCGTCTACAGCACAGTCGTGAACCCAAACAGCAAAACATACAGTGTAACGCTTCAGCACGCAATGTTGTGCATGCGCACCCGCACTCTTCGATCGAACAGTTTTGCCTCAGAAATCCCGAAGAACTCACAGCAACACATCCTCGTCGTGCACAGACCCCCATACACCTAGACGTCTGCCTGGACCCCGGACCGGATTTCTTAGGGCATGTAGTTTCTTGCACTTGTTGTGCTTGCTTTCGGGCTTGAGTATGCGAAAGTTGCAATCTTCATTTTAAGGCTCGTCTCCCCCCTTCAAAAAAAGGTTCAGTTTGCATGTACAAAAGTGATATTTGCCGCAAACATACTTGCGGCTTCCCATGTCATATTTCGAGTGATTGCAGTGCAGTGGCGATAGTTGGAGTGAAGCACATGCTATCTTTGCACAATCAAATTTTCTGCTACCTTGTCTTCACAGCCACTTTGTTGCACAGGACAAGCGCTGGTGCTGCCAAAGTGCTGTGCCATCTAAAGGTTCCATCGCGCAAGCCAAGCACTAGGCAACTTGAGAAGAGCACTGCGCACACAGGTTTAACGTTGTGCCTGCAAACTGCGTAAGCAAATCGTTTGAGCTTGCACTTGCAAACGAACAAAATAACACATTTTTTGCGTGCAGCTCCTGATGCAGTGAGACCTTCAAACCCAATCGCACTGCTGAATCTAGTGGCAAATTAATCAGATTAATCAGATGATTTGCAGGAGGCACCCATTTGGAAGCAAAATTCAGCCTCCTGGCTCACAAGATGCCATGCACTTGGCACTGTTCGATTTCGAATCCAAAGCTCATCATCCCTCGTTACAACATAAAAACCTCCTGCATCAGTCTGACAGTGTTGGCCGCTGACGGTCATGGGATTGCACGGGAGATCGCGAAATGTCCACCTATGATTGCTCAATGGCCCTGCCAAGATTTGTGCAACCACTATCAGCCCTAAGAGAAGAGAAGGTCTCATCCCCCCGTGCGCATTTTCACAGGCTGACCCTTCACTAAAGCCACTTGGATTTGTTTTTTGCTTGTCGGGATTGCTCTGAGAGGCATAATGGAGTCCAGAGCTAGTTTTGGACTTACGAGTGCCAAGAGTTGTCCAGAGTGTTTGCCTACAATTTCTGCGACTCTACTTTGTTCCGGGCTGCAAAGGGTTGATTTGGGACACTCTCGCCCTTGAAAATGGACGCGGCATTCAGGGCTCCATCATCCACGCTCAGGTCTCAGAGCGACCCCCATTCACAACTCGAAAGCTTCTGAATTAGGATTGAATAACCTTACTCAATATGCATGCTCAATGCTTTTCAAAAGCAGAGTGGGGGCAGCTCGGAGGCCTGTAGACTTGTAGTGCCAACATGTCCAGGCCACATGCAGCCGGTTTCTGGCTTGCTTCCGGAGTCCGGGCTGCATTCGGTCTGGAAATCTTCGGCCCCAAAATGCTACTTGCATTCTTGGACTTATGGGACTTATGGAACCTGCGGTTTTGGGCGAAGATGAAGTAGCCCAGAAACTCAACGAAGTACACGAAGAGGACAAAGAACCCGGTAACATAACTTGGAAGAGCTGTGATTGATGACCAGGTTGAAGGACGTGACCGGTGAAAAAGAGAAAGCTGTTTGGAGGCTAAAGGGAAACAAGTTGCAAAAGATTGAAGATAAGGATCAGGCCCGGGAGCACCTCGACGACCAACTGCCCACCTCCTAGTGCCAACCAGCAACGATGGCGTATCCGATCGCCGCACTATGACGAACGCACGCAAGTCCAAGGCAATCCCGACGGGAGAGCCGAAATCTTGAGCCATACGGCCATTCGGCACGTATGTTTGTTGATAAAACAACACGTGAACAAAACACACACCCCTCATCCGATGTCTCAAAACGCCAGTGCCAACTGAGAGGTGAAAAACGGCATCACCTGGGCCCCAATTAAAATCCCGCCACCACCCCGAATTAGCGGGGCAACAGGATTATCTGACAGATGGGCCACATGAGTGCGCAAAGACATGATGGAGGAACCAAACGAAGATTTCTCTCGCGCCATTCAAGCATTGTAGTAGAACGGTGGCGCACCTCGAAAATGCGCCACCATACGATCAGGAGGAAATAAAAGCGCGGCAACGAAGCGAAAAGACATTGATGAACCATCAATGACAGGGTGAGCGCCTCGCCGCGGTTGCCTCCATCCGCATCGTCCCTCGGGTTGGTGGAGCGGGGAGCGTCTGGGCCCCTCAAGCTACCAGATGTGGCTGAGCCTTGCTCTTTGAACTTGGATGCCCACCAATCGGAATTTGTGTCTTGCCACCCTCTCGGGCGGCCCGGGAAGTCCTCCTCGCCTTTGGCTGGTTATGAGTGGCCTCCTCTTTGGACTCCGTGTCTGGAACGCAAGTGTTTACCCCAGCGAACTCAGCAGCGAGTGGGTCCACCTCGGCCAAAACGACAGCCGCGAGGGGGACCGGAGGAGGAGGGGGCGGCGGGAAAGTGGCCCCGCACGGATCCACCATACCGGTCGGCAGCACGGGAGCTTCCGGCTCGGCATCGACAGGAGGAGGAGTGGGAGGCGCCGGAGGCGGAGTGGCCCTCATCCTCAGGTTCCTCAACTTCCTCCGGTTCATCGTGATCGGCAGAGAGTTCCTCCGACCAGACGTCAGCATTTCCTCGTCCTTGAAAGCGGGGCCCGTGTAGGGATCGCGTAGCCTTTGCCGAATGCGATACCTTTTGGGTCGCGGGTCGGCTTTCGTCAGACGGCTGGGAGCTGCTTGCAGTACCAGCGGCTTCCTTCTCGGCCTTCTCCCTGGCTTACTGTAGGGCGACGATAGGCGGGCCAGGGAATTATCTTGTCCCCACGAGTGAAGGCAGACTCATCTCCGCGGATAATCACCGCCTTGTCTTTTTTGGAGCCAGCGGACACATCGAGCGGAAGACCTGGGCAACCAATTGGGCCAAGGTGTCGGGGATATTGGGATCGATTTTCTTCCCATGCTCATCAACCCGGTCAGTCTCACCCACGATCCAATGGAACGGCATCGGCCCGATTTGCATTGACCGAAATTTCAGGTACTCAAGGACCGATGCACAGCTGGCCCAAATCCATCTCGAGAGCTCCTGATTCGGAGGGTCCATCCTCGATCTGAAGCACCGCGGCCGGGATCGGGGCCTCCGCGTCCTCATGCAAGATGACCTGAGAGAGGATCCACTCGTCCGTGACTACTCCGGGACCAGGCTCTGCGCCCATCACCGGGGGCAGCGGCCACAGCCGGCGTGTTTACGCCATCAAAGGAACTCGTCGGCGAAGAAGAGCAAGTAGCGGGTCACGACCCGCAACCGGGTCACCAGCCACAGCTTCTAGCTGTTACGGCTGATAACCACCTGCGGTTTTGGGCGAAAATGAGCCCAGAAAATCAATTGCCCTCAATGAAGTACACGAAGAGGAACCCGGTAACACAACTCGGGGGAGCTGCGATCGGATACGCCATCGTTGCTGGTTGGCACTAGGAGGTGGGCGGTTGGTCGTCGAGGTGCTCCCGGGCCTGATCTTCAATCTTTTGCAACTTGTTTCCCTTTAACCCCCAAACAACTTTCTCTCTTTCACCTGTCACGTCCTTCAACCTGGTCATCAATCACCGCACTATGACGAACGCACGCAAGTCCAAGGCAATCCCGACGGGAGAGCCGAAATCTTAAGCCATACGGCCATTCGGCACGTATGTTTGTTGATAAAACAACACGTGAACAAAACACAGAACCAAAGCCCCGCACAGAGATGGCCTCTTTCCAGCCGTTGTTCAGACTGCACATAGTTTCAGTCTTTCCGAGGATGCCTGCAATTAAAATGGTATGGTTTAAGTTCTTTTTTGGTCTGCGCAGAAAGTGCCAGAAACACGGAGCGGAAAATAACAAATAATTGTAGTGATCTCATTGCTTGGGGAAAGGGCAGGCCATCCACCACAGGTTGACACTACTGCCTCAGCCCAGCCGCATAGTATCCGGCGCCTGGGCCAAGCGGAGATGCACAGTCACGCGTCTGCACTTTCTCTTGGGGCCAGGCCAGAACTTCAGCACCAGACTTGGCATGCCCCCATTCGTGATACTCCAGCCGGTCCTGCTGGCGAGCGCCGGTCCAAGCCTTGACCATGTGCATGCATGTCCTCGCGCGCTCTCGATGCGCTTCGAGAGCTGTACTTCCGCACAACCTTCGCATCATTGAAATGCTTGTCTATGTACGGGCGCACATCCGTGCATATAAAATGTGTGTGTGGGTGAGTCTTGCTTGGTGTACAGTACCGCTTCTCGGTGTAAGGCACACCCACAATCGATATGTGCGTGTTGCTTCAGACTCGAAACCTTCTCCCCAAAGCTGGGCCTCCAAAAGCTGCTGCCTTCTCTGCAGCTGCGCTTCAGAGACCGGCAGGATTGCTTCGGGGACCGCACCTGGCTGTTCCTGTCCGGGGGTCCGGGACGGGCAGAGCCGCAAAATGCCTCGAAATGTCTTGAAACACAACAAAAGTTGAAAGAACCTTTGTATCAACAAAACATGGCCGTCCTCCTTTGCGGGCTTGGCCACTGGGGCTGCTCGGCCTTCATCAGGCGCCACGTGGCGCAAACCTGACCAAAAACACATTAGCGCGCATTCTTGTGTGATGGTGTGGGAGGCGCGGACTCTTATCCTTTGTGGTCAGCATCTTCTTCAGTTTTGGAATCGGCTTAAAGTATTCATGCCTCAAATGTGCGTTGGAAAGGCTGTCGCTCTGCTGAAAGGGGTCCAAGACAAACTGAGAACACTTGCTTGGCTTCTGCCACCGCTTTTTCACGATCCCGGCGAAGGTACTCCTCACCTGCAATGCAAGGATAAGCGCTTAAGCACAAACGAAGGTACTCCTCTTCCCAAGAACGCATGAGATTCTGGGCATCCAGCACAACTTGACTTCAGAAGTGGGGGATCCCATGCGAGGCGAACGTGACCGTGGCTTGGCCGTTGCCTTCCTCGGCCACATGCCAACAAACCAAATCCTTCGACTGCAGCTAACCATTCCAACAATGCCTTGTTCCATCCGCACGTGTAACTGTAAGGTGGGGGCTCTTGCATCCGAACAAGGCCGATGGGCACTTCTTCCATAGACCCATCTTCTAGCTGCACGTCCAGCAGCAAGGAACGCCCAACAACGCCTCACACCCACAAGCCACCTTGACATGGGTCTGTGACGCCACCAAGGCTTCCGCTAGAACTGAGGATCGCAGCACTGCGCCACATCCTGGCCATAAACAATGAGAATTGAGTGGCAGTCACAACACATTGCAGGCCGCGCGTGCCGCGCAAGACGTCCACTTTGGTGCCAACTTGCCGTTGGTCAACTCGGCCACGCTGCTTTGCGTGAGCCTTGTTTTGTGTTGGCAGGGGCCAGAGCGCTTAATTACTGTCAGCATTTGCTGGATTGAGAATTGCATTCAGGAAAGATGCGGCAAACACACCCACCACCACCCACCACAGCTTTTGAAAGCGGCTAGCATGAAGGTCCATGCGGACATGGGGCGTCCTGGCGCAGCTGAGGCAGCTGAAGCAGCTCTGGGGCCATCTCTCGTTTCAAGCCTTGCGAGGGGAACACAGCCACATCGACACATCGACAAAGACATCCTTAAATATGTCCGCTGTGAGAGCTGGACCGATGGGCAATCGCGGCAGAACGGTTTCAAAATACCTGAGCACCGTCCAAATTGGAAAAGCTGCGGAGCCCTATTTGTCTCAGATGCTTGTCGTCTCGCAGGAGATGTTCCACCTCAAAGCACTGCCAGTGGCCACGCAAGCACCTCTCAAGCAAAGGCGCACCCACTCGCCAATTGTTGTGGTGGCCTAGGGAGTTGTGCTCCGCGGAGTCACCACGTCAATCCAAAAAGCATGACAAACTTTGAGACTTTGGCCGAGGATGGGTTGCTACTTGGTCTGGCGTTCGCGCAAAGCAATTTGAGAAAGGCAATGAAAGCCAAGCCTGAAGACTTCGGTGTCAAAAAGAAGATTCCGAAGCCAGCTCCATGCATCGCGTGACCTAAAGGCTTGAAACCAGATCTCATGTGGTTGAGGGCACTTCGTTGGCCAACAGCGCCGACCAAGACTAACAAATGCACGGCTTCCTTTAGAATTGCTGAACTTGTCAATCAGCGTTTGCTGAGGTCCCAGCAAAAAGTTGAAACGAATATGCAGCAAGCCAGCCTCGCTAAAAACAAGCTATCGACTCAAACAAATCCCCAGTATCCAGGTGCATTGGCTCAAATCAGAATGTAAGCTATGTGAGGACCAGCATGGACAAACACAATCAGCCAAACGCATCCGAACACAACGCCTTGATGTTGCCACTCCGCACTTGCACTTCACACAAGGGCTGAGGGCTCGTCTGCACGCACGATCGGTGACCCCTTGTAGCCAAGAAATTGCAGCATCTGATCTCTCAAAGGCCTCGGGAGGGGCAACGAACGCCAGGCTTGGGGATTGCCTGAGGCTTTCACTGCAGCTGGGCCAAGCGGTAAACACAGCCTTCGATGTGACATGAATGCCAGTTCGCTCCTTAGGTCCTTGCTCGTACATGGTGCAGCTAAGCCACAAAATAGTGTGGAAGGAGTTGTGATAGAGTTGGGTGTGTACGGCTCTGCCTCTGCGTCTTGACGCAGCTTGACATCGCTTAAGTTCTATGAGCAGCACTCTGGCTACACTAAGCCATCTGCATGGTCCGCATGATTGATCAACTCGTCAATCAAAGACTCGACCTGAAATCATCCATGCCGAGCAGCTACAATCCTGCCATGTCGCGCTGCAATCTGAAGGAAGATGTGATTGCGTGTCAAAGGAATAAGTTAAGTTTAGGGCATTGCTGACAAATTGCAGGACAGACCGGAAATATGTCGACCTCTGAGCAAGGCAATGCTTGCAAGGCACAACACAAGTGTCAGACCGGAACTGCAAGATTTGACTCCGCAGCTTTGGAGTGAAGCCGACCACTAGCTCCTCTGGAGCCTCAGAGCCTGCAAACAACTTCTGAAGATGCCTGGTGCAGCTGAAGTTTTTAACTCGCCGGCGGGGCCAAGCTGCACATTGGCGCCACTTCGCTCCTGGCATCCAACACCTTCACCGATCTCAATCCAACACAGGCGCCTCCTCTGCACTGAGTGCCCTGTCACAACCTGACTATAAGCTTTTTGCAAAAATGCTCTAAGAAAGGGGGGCCTTCGGAGAGATGTCGAATCTTAAATTGCGCACAACGTTTGCATCCAGCATGCGCTCGCTGGTGAAGGTGACAGCGCCTGAGTCCAGGCCATTGCATAATCTCAGATCCAAGTCTGAGCATGTGACGGTGGATGTGTCCGACTTCCGGCCTGGAGAGTGGGAGCACTGGGAGCACTGGGAGCACTCTTGCCGGCCCCAGCCTCTGACATCACCGGCCACCAGCGCCTCGGTCCCGCAAGCCTCCCCAGCCCTCCGTCAAAGCCTCACTGTGCTAACTACAGCTTTGAGGTCTAGGGCTTTTGCTTGCTCCCCAAATCTTGCGCAGGTGAGCGCACAAAGCCAGGTTGCCTTGGCCCAGGTGCATGTATAACTTATAGCATTTATGACGCGAGTGTCTTCGGCAAAGCCGATTGCCTTGCGTATTCCAACTCGTTGCACACCGTAAGTGTGCTGGCAGGCCTGTTAATGTGCAAGCTTGAATACATGCTTGGGCTGATGCTCGCCAACCTCATCTGCACCGGGAAGTGGCGGATCCGCCTCAGCATTGCAGACTGACCTCAGTGTGAACAGTTAACCAAAGCACAGCACGGTCTCTGTGGCCATGTTTGTCACAAGTAGAAGCCTTGGGGGCGGGCAATACCGATGCAACTGCAGCTTGGAGCCTCTCCTGGTTCAGGAACTTCATACCACTCGGCATGGCTCCATTCATCTGCCAGATGGCTGAGAGACATATCTGGTTGAACCCAAACACGCGGAGCATACGCCGGCCGGCCCAGTACAGGTGGCATGTTTCGAAGCCAAAAGCAACCCAACCATGACAACAATTGACAAGAACATATACTCAGCGCCACATATATCCAAAGCAGATTGGCAAAACTGCCGCATCTCTTGCATTGTGGCCTTGGACTGTACCTGTGCTGTGGCCACTTAGCCACGGCTTTCCACTCAGTGGAACACAAGATGCGCTGCGCCCTTGGCGTGTGAGACCCTAATGGCCCTGTTGCTTTGCAAAGCAAGGGAGTCGAGGCCGCACGTAATTGTCCAATTAGTCTGGATCGTCTGCTAACGAGGCCATGCAAATTAACTCGTCCTTCTCGACTATCATCTCCTGCAAACAGGCGGCACCTTCAGATTTCTCTGCCCCAATGAGGTCCTTGACATCCTCCAGTCTTGTCGTAATCTCATGGAGCCATTTCTTCAGCATGTTTTCTCTTTCCCCTGCTTCTTCGGCTTCGGCACGGATGCGAGGATTCTCGCCTGGAAGGTGAAGGAACTGGATGAACACAAGTTCGCACCCTTCCCACTGCCAGGCTAAGGGTTGCACCATACCTAGCAAAGGCGATGAATGATCCATGGAGCTGCACAACACATTCTGGTTGCCTTCTCTTGCAGTTTTAGCAATAACCCTGCCCATGCCTGGCAAGGCGGGTGCGAGCATTCAGGTGGAGCGCCGTTGAGCTCTCCAACTCATGCGAGGCTTGCCGTCTGCGATCTTCCAAGTCAGCCAACTCCTCCAAGGCAAAAGGGGACAGTGAAAACCCTGGTTTGCTTCCCACCTTGCGCAAGTCTTGAAGTTGATCATGCAACAAACTCCTGGCCATAGAAACGCTGAAAAAGCCAAGCTTGGGTAGTTTTGCACAAGCACACACGTGGGTTGGCCGCCTTTGAAATTCCAGATCTTGTGCAGCAATGACAGCAGAACAGTTTGCCTGCTTTCAAATAAGATTCAGTCTTGAGAATCACAACCTGCATGTGACACTTGTCAAAATTGTGCACGGCAAGGGTTGCCCAAGCCTTCACGTGGGCCTGAGTGTGGCTTTTGGGGCCGCTTCCGTTTATATTGGGCCTTGCTGGGGCCTTGCTGGGGCCTTGCTGGGGCCTTGCTGGCCTTGCCTTCATCTCTTGCTCTTCTTGCAGCCGCTTCCGCTCCGCCGCTTCCTTGGCCCTCTGTTGCCGCAATGCCTGCTGCACCTCCAAGGCCAAGGTGGCACTGCGAGAACTCTTCGCGTTGCCCGCACTCGGCTCCTTGGAAAACACGCGAATCTGACGAGTCTGAACGCCCAGCAAAACGCGTCTCAACATCAAGTTGCAAGAACTACGGCTCCTGATCTTGTCTTTCAGACCTCTGCACTGGGCTGTTGACGGCCAATTCTTCAGACCGTGCAAGAGCAGCATCCTGCCAAATGCATCGTCAACGTCCGGGCCAAACACTTGTACGTCCACTCAAACTAAATCCAAGTGTGCATATTCTTCGAGCTCAGTACGTACTGCATGTCACCAGGGCCAAAGCTGCACTGCGAGAACTCTTCGCGTTCACGCGCGGCATCGCGCTCTGCCCCTTGGAAACAAACCACACGTCAGGCTCATATCGAGTTGCAAAAACCAGCACGCGACTTGGTTTCGTTTCCTTCCGCGCGTGGGCAGCCCTGGTAACTGCATTGTCAAGTCCAGGCCCAGGCCAAGCACGTGCAAAGCACGGTCAAGTGTTGCGCCGCTCTCTGTCTTTGGCTGAAACTCATATTCGAAGCCGTCTTTGCTGTGATGCATGTCATGATTCCCGTGCCCCATGTCTAAGATCTCAAAGACCATTCGCGCCTTCTCTTCTAACTCGCCGGCAGTCTCGTCACAGCATTTCTGCCATGCAGAACTGGAAACAAATGGAAGTTACAAGGATCCGAGGCTGCTTGTTACCTGAAACTCGAGTGAGAACATTTCTTTCGCATGTGAGCCTCGGCTGCGGCTGCTGGAGCTGAGGGAGCCTAGTGCACACGCAATCCCGCAACGCCAAGCTATGAGGTGGCACCGTCACAGGGCCAGGCTCCTCAATGCCTGAGGCGGTCAAAACCCAAACCACAACTTGAGATTGAAAACCAAAAACTCTCTGGCCAGTCACCGAGTGGCTTGGGTCAATGGCCGGTTTGTCCTCCAATGTCCTGGCCTGTAAAGTGTCTAGGAACTTTCGCCGTTGCTGCAGTACTGGCAGCTCAGCATAATCCAGGGTCACCATTGCTGTGCGAGGTGGTACCATCACGCTCCAGGAGCAGTTGGAAATCCGGCCCTTTGTACTTGCCAACTCTTGCAATTCGTCTGCAGTCTCCGGGTGTGTTTTGAACGTCGCGGCAACCCGTATCCGGCAGATACTCCCAAGCAGAAGCGACCGCAAGCCACCAGCTTCCAAACCGACATAAACACTAAGTATAGTCTGCGGCAAACTCTGTTGGTCTGGCCGCAGATGCACTCCTTGAGCAGACTCGGCTGACCCCTGGCCACAGGGCGTTTTCTAACTAGGTGATTAACCAACCGGAGCATGCTGTCCTGCTGGTCACGTTGCTGCGCGTGCGTGGTGTAGTTTATGAACACCTGCAGCCAACTTGATTGGAGCTCTGCCAGTGCCTGCACTATCCCACGCGAAAAGCCTCATCTTCCATAGAAAATCGCCAAATGGCATGGGAGCAACACTCCTCAGGCAGCCTGAGCTGACGATTCGTCCCCATCATTCATCATGAGCTCCTAACGACTAATGACTGCAGCCAAGAAACTCAGCCGCACACTGGCCGGGCTCGACATGAGAACGGAAAAGCCTGCATTCTGCAAATAGAACTGTTGACCCAGTGTGGAGGAACAAAATGCTGGCAAGAAGCGTGAAACCAGAATTGTTCACAACCTGTAGTGTCGCAGGGAACGCTAAAATTCACGGCTAAATGCCACATCCTTCAGCTGTCGCGCCGGTGCCTCAACGACAACTTCAGCAGCCTGAACTTGTGTTCTGGTCGCATCATGGAAACGATTCAGACAGCTGGCCTTGCATTCATTTTCTGTTGGCAAGGCAGAGTCTCCAAGGCGTGCCCCAGAAGGGCCAGCCCCCATTGCAGTGGTGCATCCGTGCGGGTTGCCAGTATCTGGCTGTCAAAACGCATCATGCGTAGCCTCTTGTCCGTCGCATGTGGTGTGAAAGAATCCTAAACAAAACTGTGATCCGGCAAACACTGGCTGAAATGCAAGTGCGGCCGGCCAGCAAAAGACACAACCTTTCTGCAAATTCTCCGCAAAGCTGCGGCAACCACCGTGCAAGAAGCTTTGCATGCAGCCTGGCTTGAAATGAAGCACCCCAAACCCGAAAACCAACATAGATCCTATTAACAATCATTTTCGGTCCGGCCAGGCCTCGCCCCCAAACACTGCAAAACGTCCCTCCAATGAGCCTTGCCTCAAATCCAGCTGAATGGAATGGGTAGCAAGGTTGTTGGCCAAGTTGGGTGCGATGAATCGGGCGCAGACTCGGCCAATCGGGCGCGAGTGTGACATTTGTACCTGTGCGAAACGGCACTGCTCGGCGCAACTGCCCATTGGCGCGGCTGTGTAACTCACTTGCCCAAAGGACCAGGAAATAAAAGGTTAACCTTTTGGGGCCATGACTAAAACTAGACCAAAAAGGAGAAACCAAAAGGTCAAAAGGTTGGCTTTGGGCAAAAGAGGTAAGCTCGGGCGCAGAGATGGCCCGAGCACGCAGGTGGCCATGAGGCACCAAAGTTTCCTCCTCTTTGCAAGATGCAAACCCTGACCGGAGTGCATACCAAAAGCTGATCGCCGGCGCAGCTTTTTGAACTGAAGCGGCTCGAGGCTGTGGCCGAAGTACGCAGGTGGCTCGCGGACCACGAGGTTTCTCCCTGCGACACGGTTTGCTTGTGAAACGGTTTGCGGGGAGAGCTTCGTACAAAAAAGTGCATGTTGGTTCTTACAAGAACCTATGCCTTAGACCCTACGTTGCTTGAGGCTAACTGCGTAGAGCGCGTTTTTGTCAGCTGGGGCGGCCCAGAGCGCTTTTTTTCCCACGCACCTTTTTGCCCGCACGAAGCCATGAGTACCCCGAAACCCCCCCGGAAACAGGCAGCGCCGAAGGAGGCGAGGAAGAGGAGACAGCAGGCGGGAAGCACGCCACGACTACCCCCGCAAGGGGAGGCGGCTGGGAAGAGGCACGTCCCCGGCGCCGAGGACGTCACCAAGGTCCGGCCCCACATCCGCAACAGGCCGCACAGGCGAGAAACAGGCCGCACAGGCGAGAGCCAGGCGCCGCCCAACAAGGCGGGCACCACAGCGCGCTGAAGGGCGACGCCGAGAAGGCCCCACCACCGTCGCTGCCACACAACGGCAGAAGAGCGGCGCAGTGCCGCGGCAGCGCGGAGGGATCGGACGTGGATGAGGCGGGTCGAACGCCTCGGAACCGAAGCGCCCGCCGATCTCACAGCCAAGGACGACAAAGCGCTGCGGGCCTGGACACGCAAGCTCAGGGTAGCGCGCCCGCGGGTGAGGGTGGCCATTCCGCAGCCAACCCAAGCCTGCTCGATCAAGGGAGCCCGGCGGGAAGAATACCGCTGCGAGGACACGCAGCAGCATGGTCGTCGAGGACATCAAGCACCCCGACACCACCCCACAACCCGTACGCCAACGGCAGCGCCGGCGCAAGGCGACATGCCTGAGAGCCTGACTGGGACCGAAAGCAAGCCCGATCGGACGGCGACAGGCTTGTGAAAGGAAGAACACGAGACGTGCGAAGCTGCCATCCATGTGGCCAGTCACCAGGGCTGCTGCCTGTGGAGCCGGCGGTGCAGCACGTGCCAGGACATGATGCCAAGAGGGGCAATCGTCCCAGCCGCGGGTGGCGGAGCAAGTCTCCGCGTGCGGCTGCTTTGCGCGGCGGCCTCATCTCTGGTCGTGGGCCGCAGCATAGGCCGCCGACTGGGAAGGCGGCACTCTGGAGATGCTGAGCGCGCGGAGCGGCGCAGAACAAGAGCAACAGCCATGCGGACTGGAGGTCATGCAGCTGCGGGAGCTCGGCGAGCAGGCGCTGTTGGTCAGCAAGCCGCTCGCCAGCGCAGCGTTCGATAAACTCCGGGCACGCCCAAAGCGAACAAAGCCACGCTCAGGCGACGGTTTGTCCCCACGCCACACCTCCACTGGCCGAAGTGAACACGTACAGATCGTCCAGGAAGGCCGCCAAGCGATCGCCTGATCGGAGCGCCTGCGAGGCAGCGACCAGGTTGTTGTGCTGCGCCCAGCGCAGGGGCCAGCGGCACCCTGGAGGATGCGATGGCAAACGCCCTCGCTGTCCCACCACAGGTAGACAGACTGCCGCGCGTAAAAGCCTCGCACAGACGGCAAGAGCGCTGGAGCAACTTCCTCGAGCTTGCGGAGGAAAGCTGCCCGTGACACACAGTCATAGGCGCTGCGGCCGTCGAGCGAAACGACAGTCGCCTCTGGATCGAGCTCCACAGCGACCCGCAACATGGTGCCAGCGCGAGCTTGCAGCGCAAACTGGAAAGGGCGCGTGGCCTCGTCAAAGCGCCGCGCGTACCTGCGGGCCAAGGAGACACACACAGAGACACACACAGAGACACACAGAGACACACACAGAGACACACAGAGACACACACAGAGACACACACACAGAGACACACACAGAGACACACACAGAGACACACACAGAGACACACACAGAGACACACACAGAGACACACACAGAGAAGCGCGAACGCGCGTGCGCCCAGGTCAAGCGTGGAGATTGGTCCCAGGCTCGCCAAACACTCACGGCTGCCAATCTGGCGCCGGGCAACGAGGCGACGCTTGCCACCCTGCGGGGTCCCGCGCGCCGACTCCGGCCGTTGCCATCTGCGCTGGCTTCTGTCCCGCGGCTGTCGCCGACACCTTGCGGACAGCCAAGAAAGGCGCGGCTGCAGGCGTGTCTGGAGCCACCGCTGAGCACTACAAGTTGCTCCTTGCTGATGAGGAGGCTCAGTTTGCCGAGGTCGCCATGCCAACGGAAACGTGCCGGCAGAGGCCGTCTCGGCCTTAAGATTGGGCTTGGCCCGCCTCACGGCGCTGCAGAAGCCCAGCGGTGCGTGAGGGGCATTGCTACCGGCGATGCACTCCGGCGCCCGGCCGCCCGCCGGACGGAGAGAGGGCGGCGGCCGCCGCCGACCTGCAGCTAAGGCGGCGCGGCCCCGGGCGCCGGAGCTCCGGGTATGCGGCGAACTTGCATTGCGCTGCCGTACGCGACGCCACGCCGTTGCGATCGGCGGCTCCCGCCAGTGCCCCGGCGGTTCAAAGGCGAGACAAGCATGGCAACACAGCGCAACGCCCGAAACCGTTCCCCCAGGCGCCGGCGATCAGCTGCGGAAAGCAGGTCCCAGGAGAAACAAAACACAGCAGGTCCGACACACTGTGTCGAGAAAGGGGCGGCTCAGTCCAACCGGATTTTTTGCTGATTTGAGACGCTGCATCTAATGCTGTGCAGGCGGGCTAGCCCAGGGCGGGCTTTGTAAATCGCCTCACGTGAGCGGCGATCCGAGCCAACAACAATAGCTAAAGTCTTGGAAACCAAGTGCTCACCTGCCCTGCGTAGAACTTCAGCAATAAAGACTTTGCTGCGGAACGCCCTGTATTTGTCGCAACGAGTTTTTGACAGCAGTGCTTCGACTAAGCCTGCCAGTGTGGCCAGCTTGCCTGACATGAGCTGTATGGAATCGTGGGAATGAGCGCGCACAGGAGGTTGTCAACAAAAAGGAAGGCTTTGTGCAGTTTCCATGCTAACAGCCGCCAGTGCGTTGCCACCAGTAAGCCGAGAACCGGCCTCCAAAATGACAGACTCTATAGTGGTAAAGTTTGTTTTGGAAGGCAAACAGCAGAAGGCCATGCTCACGGCGCACCTGCACTTGCTTGCGCGCGGCTTTGCAAATCGGCCTTCTTGAGCCAATCTGTGTGGAAACAATAAAAAAGCCTTGAAAGAACGCAGGCATGTAAGATAATGTTGGCACTTGATTAGTAAAGGGTACTGGAAAATAGAAAGGTGTTTTTCTTATTCTGGTTCGCACCCATTGTTTCAGGGGACAAGAATAATAGACTTTTTTAAACCGGGGTAGCAATTCCAAAAAAAACTCCACAAATCAATTTTAATCTAAAAACCACCCCCCCCTTCCCAGAAAATAAACTATCAGTTGCTTTACTCAAAAGCATGCCCCTTTTTTTTCTTCTCGCACGCCTTTTGCTGCTGCACCAGTCGGTCCCCCTCAAAAACCCTGCTTGAAAGGGGGCCCCCGGGCACCAGGGGTAATCACGTCAAGGCCTCCCCACGCGGGAGGCTAGGCTAGGCGGGCGCGGAAAGCCGGCTGGCGAGCACCTCAAGAACGGGGCCGGTGCGGTCGGCAAGCACGTCACTGAAAGCGGTCGCAGGGCCGTCCAGGCAAGACAAGCCAGCGGAAGGCAAGGCAGACAAGCTGGCAGCAAAGGCCTGCATGGCGGCAGCAGTCAGCCAGACCAGCGGTGGACCAGGGGCGGCACCGGGGGAACTCGGGGTGGGTCCGCTTTTTCTGACGCCGCGCGTCAAGCAAAGCAACGGGCCGCGCGAAGTCACGGCGGGAGCGCGGAACGGCATCACGCGTGAGGGGCGACACGAAGGTCGTGTCGACTGCAAGCTGGGCTCCGTTCCACAGGGGCAAGCCGTTAGCAATGACTTCGATGTGCCTGTCGTCCAGGCGGTCGACAGGGGCATTCAAATCACGTACAGGGTGTTGGTTGTGACGCGTGCGCCGGCCTCGCAGCAAATCCGCGCAGCAGGCAGCTGCGGGCGGTAAAGGGCAAAGGGCGCCGCAACAAAAGCACGCGGAACAGGGCAGGAGAGTAGGCAAGCTCCGGGCAGCACGGCACGCTGGTGAAGACACGGCTGCTGTAGGGGGCCAGTTTGCGAAAACAAAAGTGCCTGAGAAGCCGGGTCCGTCTGGGCGAGGACCTCATCTTGAAGCTGCCGGGAGACGGCCTCGGCGGCGGGGGACTGCCACCCGCTGGGGGTTCGGCTCCGGGCTGCAGGAACGCCTCCCAAGAGGGCCCAGCAAACCCCGCCTCGGCAAGTTGGGCATGCGCAAGC